GGAACTTCAATGGGCTGATAGCAAGACAAAGGAACAGCTACTGGACATAGAGGAACTGTGCAAAGTCCATCGTGATCAAGCCAGGACTCTATTTGCCCAAGACAAAGAGAGATACCAGAAGATGGTTCTCTTAGAAGCCAGTAATAAAGATATCCTATCTGCACTTCAGAAGCAACATGGGCTTATTGAAGGTCTCACATCTGTGACTCAGACCTTACCAGAAACCCTGGAACAGATTGCCTCTACTCAGGCCTCAGAATTCCAGAAGCTCTCCCTTTTGCTTAGTGATCTAGATGATGCCAAAAAGGGGGAAGAAGGCCCTCATCTATCAAAACCCAAAACCTCCAGAACCTCAACATCTGCTGAACCAAGTGTGGATCCAACACCTTACTTTGAGGCTGCTCTTCAGAAGAAAAGGCTAACTGGTATTCCTAGACCTCCATCCCCACTGAAGAAAGGATCTAAGAAAAAGAAAGCTCTAAGCTTTAAAGAATGGAGAATGGGAGGTTCTCAGGTGATGACTACTACACAATTTGATGAAATGAAGCAGAAGATGACCTCTACTCAACAACAGAATCTCTACTTGGACCATGATGGTCAAGTGAAGGTCAGACATGGTGGATCTCTGGAGGAAGCAGAATTCTGGTTTCACAACAGTATAGTACCAGGAAAAGATATCCATGAAGGTGTTCTTAACTACTTAGACTGCAAACTCTCACCTGTCTGGGCCTCCTACCAGAGAACTGGAAATCTGGCTGGAATCAGAAAAGAGGTGAATGCTGAATTAAAGAGACTACAAGGACTGGATGAACAAGCAAGAGCTGAAGCAGCCAAGGCTATTATGTAATCAGACAATCTTGTAATCCACCTTAATAAAAGAACATCTCTGCCTCACACGTTGTAAGGCAATTCCCCAATCTCTGTTTTTTTCCTTACTTTCTGTTTGTGTTTGTTTGTTTGATTGCTTTGTGATATTTTATCTGCTATCTGAATGTATCGTACTCTTACTATTTTCCTATGCCAAGTTGCCCACCAAGATTTTAAATGAAAAGTTTTAAACTTTAAATTTTTGTGGTGAAGGCACTTCTCTGGAAATAGTTAAAGGGTTTTGGCATCATAAAAAAGGGGGAAATTGTAAGGAATAATTGTATTTAGATTTTGATGATGCTATATTAATTAGGACTATAGAGTACCCCTTTAGAAATTATGTATTAGAATTTTCCCTTGTAAAATTCTTAGCATATTCGACTACCAGAAGGCCTCTCTACCAGAAGTCCTCCAGACAGAAGATCTTGGTTCTCTGTCTAGGAACAGAAAACGTCAGGGTCTCTGTTACCCTTTAGCGTGACAGAAACCCTCCTGGTTCTCTGTAAGCTACCAACAACAGAAGTGCTCATGATCTTCTCTGATTCAGTTCTCTGTTAGTAACACCAGAAGGTCTGACACTTGGAAGAAATCCACAAAGCCGGGAAGTCAACATAAAGATTCCTTCAAACGACTAGGAGTATGAAACGGAAAAGCTACAGTGCTCGCATTAAATGCTCATTTAATGCTCCCCATGCTCCGTGGAGTAATTGCAGATAATTGGCCGCAATGTCAGGATTACTTTATCCCAAAATAGTAACCCGCCAACTTTACCGGGTCCTACTGGTCAAGTCAACTGCTCGCGCATTAAATGCAGTTGTCCTCCTACTCCTCCAATGGGAAGACAACCTCAGTATAAAAGATACACTACGAAGAACAACCGGATAACTTTGCCATAACTTTGCTATCACATTGCTAACCAAGCAAGATATTCAAACTCTGAAAAGCAAAAGCCTCCTTGAGATTCAAACTTACTATCCTCTACAAGAGAAGGCAGAAGTCGGAAAAATACTCTTTCCTACTCAAGCAAAGTTCCAAGTGTTCTTCAACTCTTCAAGCTCTTCACATACATACATTTTGTAACGAAGCTAGTTGGAGGAACCTCTGTTTCAACAGAAACTCTTCTTGCTACAAGAAGGACGTCCGAATAACTGGAGTAGTGAAGTGGTGATACTTCAAGGAGACTCAGTGAAAGGACCAGTGTTAAAGGAAGCCAGGCAGTGCATCCCAGGACACATCTAGGCTTGAAGAAGACGTGGAGTGCTTCTTAAGTGCTAGGACTAAGGCTTTGTAAACGGCAGTTTTTACAGCTTAGTGGAACAGTGGATTAGAGGAACGAGTTGTTCCTTGAACCACTATAAAAATCCCTGGTGTCGTTTACTTACTGCTTTTAATACTTGCATTTAGTTAGAACCGTTTAACTCCCTGAACTTGGTATCTGTGTTCAGCAGAACTCGTTCTACGAGTTAACAGAAGGCCTTCTGCCTTTGCTTCTCTGAGGCTAACAGAACTCCCTGCCAGAACCCCATCCGCTGCCAGTCTGTTCTCTCAACAGAACATGTTATTCTGAAGAACTGGTACTTAGTTTTAAAAAGTTAAAAACCAATACAGTCTATTCACCCCCCCTCTAGACTGTATCCAGTATAACCGGGACCAACACCCTTGATGATAACTCTCTACAAGCGATCTGTGCACAAGGGTTCTCCCACAGGGTCACCTTGGCCAGAAAATCGCCATGAGAGTTGGATTCAGGGGGACTACGGAGATGCCGCTTCGGCCAGGGAATACAGAGATGCCGCTTCGGCCAGGGACTCAAGCAACTCCTTCACCCCTCGCACTCCTCGGCCTGAAACAGTGGGGGACTGGGGGACTACACCGGCCTCAACGAAACAAAGAGTATAAACAAGGTAACCACAAAACATGGCCACATCATCCACACAGCACAACGGAACCTCATCGGCCAAAGGCCCAAAACGTCATTAGCGACGGCCAACAAGCCACTAGAGGCAAGGACACTCATCGTCCTCCGCCAACAATTAATCTTGACGAGCCCTTCGGCCAAGAACACGAAGGCCAACCAGCAACGGCCAAAAGGAGTGCGCGAGCACCCTCATCGGCCACCCAAAGGAAAGGACGCCATCGTCCTCAAAGCAAGGAACAACCTCACCGGCCCAAACATAAACTTCAACCACCAACGTCCAGGAAAGGGAAAGCGCGCCTTCAACGGCCGACATTGAAACAAGACAGTCATCATCCTCAAACACATTTAAGGAAACAACGGCCTCCCCACCTGCAGCGAAGAACAGGTAACGGCCAAAGCACAGAACAGGATCACCAAAGAGGAAACAATGCCAACGCCGCAACGGCTAAAGGCCCGGGGGATGCCCGCCTCGGCCAAGGGCAGCAAAGCACATGAATCTACTCTCCTTCGCTTCGTCTACGTCTCAGCTTAGAGAGTGGGGGACTCCTGATGGAGTATATGGGTCTGAGCCCCAGGAACCACATACTCGGAAGAACAGGGCACAAGACAACAGAGTGGTGCCCTCGTCAGCCAAGACGCCCCCGTCGGCCGAAAAGGGGCCAACTCAGATTACGGTCCTGAAGCCAAGGAACCCGAGCGCCCTCGTCGGCCGTGCCCTCGTCGGCCGTGCCCTCGTCGGCCACGCCCTCGTCGGCCACGAAGACCTCCCAGAAACGGATTCTATACTTACTCATTTGTACAGCCCATTAGAGGCTCTGTATTCGGCCCAGTAGCGGTCCAGTTGTAAATGGGCCTCCCAAGCCCAAGGCTTGGGAGCCCAACCCTAATTTTCTCTATAAATACTCCCCTTGGGAGTAGTTATAGGGGTTACGAAATCATTCTATTGAAGCATACTATTGCACTTCTCTCTCTAGCTCTCACTTCTCTCTAGATATACTCTATCAGATATCATCATAAAAAGTAGAATGAAAATGATTTGATCAGTAAGGAGGTGTTAAAACCTATATGAAACAACTCTTTATCTCCTCCAAATTTTCAATTTAATCTTCATAGGTAGAGCTAGGGAGCGATCAAAGTATTGTCTTAACAAATCAATATGTGCTTGAAACTTAGTAAACTTACTGTGAGACTTGATTTGAAATTAAAGAAGCTATGCATAACTTATCAAAGGAAGACCATGGTAAAAATTACTGATGAAAGAGAATCCAAACCATTTGAATAATGTTGGACTTCATCAGTAGATACAGGTTGCCTGTTGCTGGAGAGATGGTGCCATAGGTGACCAATCAACTCAACCAATGATGAACACGAAGGCGGCAGACGGTTATTGAGTGACTGATAAGAGGTGGCCGGATATGACCTTTGATCCATCGAACTCGAAGCTAGAACTGTCACAGGCGTCCTCAACGGTTCATCCTTTGCAACAACATCCTCATGACATACTCCAGGAGTATAGAACTTATGACTGCCCCGCCTTCTCCGCCTCCTGCAACGACGGAATCAAGCTCATGGACGATTGAATCAATAACGCCTGATCTACCGATTATAGCTACCGAAGCAACGATTACAACTGCAAGAGCCAGGAATTCATTAAGTCTCTTAGCGTGATTGAGGGCGAGGGTGCAGATTTCGTCTCCAAGTTGTACCTCCTCGATTGCTTCTGCGGCAGAGAGGTGGCAAAGGACGGTTCGGTGGTGGAAGTTTGGAGGCCGATGGAATTCACTCCACTAAGATGCTTTAGGCTTTAGTTTGTAATGAGCTATATTTGAAATAAAAAGATAAAAGTGAAAATACAAAAGTTAACGATGAAAAGAATAATATTTTGAGCTATAAATGAAATAGAGGTGGCTAAAGTAGATCAACCGGGTAATTACCACAAGTAGATTTCGAATTGCTATGATGGCAGGGGCGGGCTCCAGCCCAGCCCATTCTTTTTATTAGTATAGGTATATGTTTTGTTATCAGCCCACCCGAAAATTAATTCCCAGCCCACCCCAAAATTAATTCTCAGCCCACAGCTCAGCCCAACTGACTTTAGATTTCACCTGCGCTCCAATTGGCCGAACGCGAAGAAGAACGGAAGAAAGAAAATCGAAGAACCAAGAGCTTGGCAGCTTGCGACGACCGGTGCTACAACCTGTGAGCTGCGACCCTCCGCCGTCCACGCCTCGCGTCCATGAGACAAGGCCGCTGCATCGTCGTCCGTCCAGACTCCAGCGTCCTTCCTCTCTCGCCTCTTGCCTCTTCCTCCAGCTCCGGTGTAGGTGAGTTTTTTTTTTTAATTTCTTACTGTATTATTTTGTGATTGTGTTAAGACTGTTAACTTGTATTATTATGTTTAGCCTTTAGAGTGTTAGGGTTAGTCCGTTAGTTAATCAATTTAATTAGTACTTGAATTTTTCGGTGCATAATAAAACAGGGCAAAAATTCATTATAGATTTATAATGATAAAAAGGAAAAATAATAATGATTAAAAGATGATAGTTCAGATTATTATAATCTGGAATTTCTTTTTTAATTGACTGAACAGGTAGCTGGTCACGTCGGATCATTATTGGCGGAAGGTCCTTAAAGTTGGGATTATTATGAAATAATCGATAATTGAGATTATTACTATCAATTTTTCCTAAATATTAAGATGAGACTAATATTATATTGAAATGTGACCAATATTAAAATGTACTACTTCCGTCCCATTAGAAGGTTCTCGTCCACTTCACATGGTCAAGTTAAATTATTTTTGATCTTTTACTTTATAAATCAAATTTTTATCAAATTTACATTTTTTATCAGGCTTTGTAGTAGTTTTAATGTAGTTTCTGAATATGTTAATTTTATTTACAAAAAATAATTAGAGTGTGAACATGGATTAAGTTGCTTTATCGTCAGTCAAGCATCGTAAACCGTCAACGGGAACCTTCTAACGGGGCGGAAGAAGCAACTAATATGCAAATATGACTAATATTAAAATTTGACAAATATGACTGATGTGAGTAAATGAAAATGTGAGTAAAATAAATTGGGAAAAGTATTATATTGTATTATTATAACTAGTATGAAAATGTGACTAATATTAAAATTTTACTAATATAAAATATGAATGTTAATAGCATTAATACTTTAATTAGTATACCTAATATATGATGAAATGTTAATATTATACACTTTATAACCATATTACTATGAGATGAGTAGTATAGTTATATTTAATATTTTAATTATTATGCTTAATTAATATATATTTAGTTGTCTATATTCTCATTAATATTACATAAGTACAATTATAATACTTTCTAACTTCTAGCTATAATAATCTAATACGTAGTATTATATATCAATATATAAATAGTTATAATATTTATATATGAATGTACAAATATGTATTAGCTATAAATATATATGATTATGAGTATGAAAATCAGATATAAAATGAAATAATAGACATTGAGATTAGAGAGAATGAGAGATTGAGAGTAGAAGAGAATAAGAGGTGTAGGAAAAATGAAGAAAAGTGGAGATATTTATTTGTGTTATGAAAATGAAGAAGATGAAGACTAAATTTGAGAGATAGATATATTAATAAAAGCTCTAAATATCTTCTTCTTAATATCTGAGAATTTCTGAATTTCTGAATCAAGCTCCTATTTATACTGTTTGAACTTGATGATTAGTCATTTAAGGGATGAATCTACAGATTTGGTGGCAATAACAAGTTGAGCCATCTGTTCTAACTAGGTTACAAGGATTAAACATAATTTCTGGATTGATGACAAGGATGAACAATTCACACTTGTCATTTCCAGGATTTTACAACACTCCCCCTTGAATGTTCATCCTTGAATAGTTGTCTATTATTTTAAAAACTTATTGTGAAAATTAAGGGGTAAAAAATACGACTTATAATGTCGTTGTATTTGGATGTATTGTCTCGTTAAAAACCTTATCAGGAAAAACCCAGTGGGATAAAAACCTGATGAAGGGAAAAAGAGTGCAGTGCATTCAAATACTCCCCCTGAATTTAGTATAAATTATGAAGACGTCGCATGCCGATTTTCTGTACAAGTTCCATGAACTTCTTCGGGGGTAAAGATTTGGTGAAGAGATCGGCTGGATTTTCACTGGATCTGATTTGTTGAATGTTGATCGTCCCTTCTTTCTCGAGGTCATGAGTAGAGAAGAACTTTGGTGATATGTGTTTTGTTCTGTCTCCTTTGATGTAGCCTTCTTTAATCTGAGCTATGCACGCAGTGTTGTCTTCGTAGATCACAGTAGGATGACAAGTAATTGACTTTATACCGCATTCATTTTGGATGTGTTGAATCATAGATCGTAGCCACACACATTCTCTTCCGGTTTCATATAGTGCAATTAATTCAGAATGATTTGACGATGTAGCTGTCAATGTCTGCTTCATAGATCTCCATGAGATTGCGGTGTTACCATAAGTAAATACATACCCGGTTTGTGATTTCGCCTTTTGAGGATCTGATAAGTATCCAGCGTCTGCATATCCGATTAAAGCAGCTTTTTCATCTTTGTGGTAGAATAAGCCAAGATCAACTGTACCACGTAGATAACGGAATATGTGTTTGATCCCGTTCCAATGACGTCTTGTTGGGCATGAACTGTACCTAGCTAATAAATTTACGGAGAATGCAATATCTGGTCTAGTATTATTAGCTAAATACATTAAAGCTCCAATAGCACTCAGATATGGTACTTCGGGACCAAGTATTTCTTCGTCATCTTCTCGGGGACGGAATGGATCATCGTGTATGTTGAGAGATCGAATCACCATTGGTGAAGTCAAAGGATGAGCTTTGTCCATATAGAATCTCTTCAAAACTTTCTCGGTGTAATTGGATTGATGGATGAAAATTCCATTCTTCAAATGCTCAATTTGAAGTCCGAGACAAAATTTGGTTCTCCCTAGATCTTTCATTTCAAATTCTTTCATAAGATATTTTGCAGTATTTTCAATCTCATCGGGAGTTCCAATAATATTTAAGTCATCAACATATACTGCAATTATGGCGAATCCCGAATTTAATCGCCGGATGAAAACACATGGACTAATTGGATCATTCTTATATCCTTCCTTAAGAAGGTATTCACTGAGACGATTATACCACATTCGTCCAGATTGTTTTAGTCCATACAATGACTTTTGTAGTTTAATGGAAAACATTTCTCGAGGTTTCGAGCTATAAGCTTCAGGCATTTTAAATCCTCCGGGAACTTTCATATAAATGTCTGTATCGAGTGAACCGTATAAATATGCAGTTACTACATCCATTAGGCGCATTTGCAGCCTTTCAAAAACAGACATGCCAATGAGAAACCTTAATGTAGTCGCATCAACTACTGGAGAATAGGTTTCTTCATAATCAATTCCCGGCATTTGAGAAAACCCTTGGGCAACAAGTCGGGCTTTATATCTTACAATTTCATTTTTCTCATTGCGTTTACGCACAAATACCCATTTAAAGCCTACTGGTTTTACGCCTTTTGGCGTAGGGACTATCGGTCCAAAAACATCACGTTTTTCAAGTGATTTCAATTCAGCCTGAATTGCTTCATTCCATTTTGGCCAATCGTGTCGTTTCCGACATTCTTCTATTGATGTTGGCTCAGTGTCATTGTTTTCATTCATAACATTTGTGGCAACGGCATAGACAAATATCTCATTAATATCAATATCTTTACGATTCCATTGCATTCCAGTAGAAACGTAGTTTATTGAAATTTCATAATTATCAATGTTTCTATCATTATCTGGAATATCTTCCTCATTTAAGGAAGTTGGATCATCATTTGAGATATTTGTTTTGTCAATATCATTTTCTATGCCAATATTTTCAAATTGTTCATTTTCTTGTTCAGAAGGATGAACATCTTTGGCATCACAGATCGATTCCTGCCTTTTAGTTTTTCTTGGTTTTATATCTTTCGATCCAAGTGGCCTGCCACGCTTTTTGCGTATAGAAGAATCATTTGCTAAAGATTTTTCAGAATTCTCTGTTGGGATTTCGATTCTGGCAGGGGCATTCATGGCAGGAATATGTGACTTTGTCACTTTCTTTGTGTCTGTGAATGCATCAGGCAACTGATTTGCAACATTTTGTAAATGGATTATCTTTTGCACCTCTTGCTCACATATATTTGATTTTGAGTCAAGATGTGATAATCCTGTTGCATTCCATGTTATTTCTTTCGTATTTGGGTCCGATTTATTAGTTTCTCCCCCTAAGGTTGGGAATACTGTCTCATTGAAATGACAGTCAGCGAACCGTGCGGTGAATAAGTCACCAGTCATCGGTTCAAGATATTTGATTATTGAGGGAGATTCAAATCCAACATAAATTCCCAACCTTCTTTGAGGACCCATTTTTGTACGATAAGGTGGAGCAATCGGAACATAAACAGCACAACCAAATATTTTAATGTGTGCTAAGTTTGGCTCTTGTCCAGTAACTAATTGTATTGGAGAATATTCATGATATGCAGTCGGTCTAAGCCGAATTAAATTTGCTGCATGTAAAATAGCATGTCCCCAAGATGATGAAGGTAAATTACACTTCATTAATAATGGTCTAGCGATTAATTGTAATCGTTTAATCAAAGATTCAGCAAGACCATTTTGTGTATGGACATGAGCAACAGGATGCTCCACATCAATCTCAATCGACATACAATAGTCGTTAAATGATTGGGATGTAAATTCTCCTGCATTGTCAAGTCGGATTCTCTTTATAGAATGATCAGGAAAATGAGCTCTTAATCGTATGATTTGAGCAAGGAGTTTAGAAAATGCTAAATTTCTAGTCGATAAAAGACTAACATGTGACCAACGTGTTGAAGCATCAATCAACACCATAAAATATCGAAATGGTCCACATGGTGGGGCTATCGGCCCACAAATATCTCCTTGAATCCTTTCTAAAAATGCAGGTGATTTAGTTGCAATTTTGTTCATTGAAGGCCTGATGATCATTTTGCCAAGAGAACAGGCCTTACAAGGAAAATCACTTGATACTGGAACCCTGATATTCTTTAATGGTGTGTCCAAGTGAAGTCTTAATGATTTCTGATCATCTAACTTTGTGTTAGAAACCAAATTTATTTCGAATGGACTAATATATGTGAAATATAGTCCTGAGGAATATGCTGGCATTTTTTCACAAAAATATTTAGCGCCAGATTTAGTTGTCGTGAGACAAAGATATTCCTTTTGGTTTTCATTCATGGTTTCTATGTGATAACCATTTTGACGCATATCTTTAAAGCTCAATAAATTTCTCCGCGATTTGCTGGAGTATAAAGCGTCATTTATAATTATTTTTGTCCCATTATGTAGCATCACATATGCTTTTCCAGAGCCTTCAATGCGCTTCGCAACACCTGATATTGTATTGACTTTAGCTTCAACTAAAGTCATTTGAGAAAAATATATTTTATTTCTCAAAATGGTGTGTGTTGTGGCGCTGTCTATCAGACATAGCTCTTTATCATTTGAGTGATCCATATCTTCAAAATGTGTAAATAAACATAAGCTTGATCACAAATTGTGCATATAATTTAACATAAAGTACATATATTACACACATTTATTTAAAAACAAAAGAAAAACGGAAGTAAGAGAAAAAAAAATACATAAAACTAATTTGTTACAACATAAGGATCGGAGTCTAATATTTTATTTTGTGACATTTTGGTTTATTGCAAAAGCATCGTCCATAATGGCATCATCCGCGAAAAAGTCGGACACATCAAATTTTGGCAGAGGTGGAGTCGTGTCGTTGACATAATTAGCTTCCATATTTTTGCCGTTGTTCAAATTCATGGAAGCTTGAAATAATTCCACCAGATGCTTTGCAGTGCGGCATTTGTTAGCCCAATGCCCCGTCATGCCACATTTATAACAAGTCGTCTTTACCGAGGTTTTTGGAGGGCGATTTATTTGATGGGCCTTTTGTTTGCCCTTGCCCTTATAATTTGGTCTATTGACCTGTTTATATTCTCGGTGTGACTTGTTTTTATGACCATTAAAATGCCCACGTTTAAAATGCCTTCTACTGCCACTGTATGTTGCATTTGATTCAGTGGCTAAATTATGGCCAGATGGACCATAAATCGAAGGACTAGAACCGGTGGGTCTCAAATTGTGGTTTTTCATCAAAAGGTCATTGTTTTGCTCAGCTACCAATAATACTGATATTAAGTCAGAGTATTTTTTAAAACCCTTTTCTCTATATTGCTGTTGTAGCAGCATATTAGAGATATGCATAGTAGAAAAGGTTTTCTCCAACATATCAGCGTCAGTGACTTTTTGTCCACATAACTTTAATTTGGATGTTATTTGGAACATAGTAGAATTATAGTCACTGATAGATTTAAAGTCCTGGAATCTTAAATTGATCCAGTCATACTGAGCTTTTGGTAAAAGTACCTTTTGTTGGTGGCCATACCTCTCTTGTAAATTGTCCCATAATTCTTTTGGATCATCAACCAAAAGATATTCAGATTTGAGACTTTCATGGAGATGGTGACGGAGAAAAATTATAGCTTTTGCTTTATCCTGGGAAGATGATTGATTAATAGCCTCAATAGTGTCTTCGAGACCATTAGCCTTTAAATGTGCTAGAGCATCAACTTTCCATTTCAGGTATTTTTGACCGGATAGATCAAGAACGTCGAATTCTCGTTTGCTAATATTTGCCATGGTACTACAAAATTATTATTTAAACTTAATTAGAAATATGGATTGTAACCATATTATTATTTGAAATATTGGTATAATCACATTAGTATTATTAAGTAATAACACTAATATTTAAATATTATTTAATGACCTATTTTATGATTATATATGTACAATAATTAGAACGAACAAAATTCATTGGCTTCTTCAAATTATACTACGTACCATATTCAATAGTGATATCGGGAATTGTATAAATGACTTCTACTTATAATTGGTAATATGTTATTAAAATCATCATATATATTAAATTATAACTCTTTAAACAAAATGAAATATACTCCGTAAATGATAACAGAAGAAAATTAAAAGCTCTTTGGTGAACTCAAGAGCAGGTACACTAGTAAAATTGTATTTTACTTTATTTTCTTTTGTTTTGGCAGATAAAAACAAAAACTACTGTATAGCAATTGAAATATTAAATAGCAATCCTTATCTCAAACTGGTTAGTTGTTACGTGGCTTATTACCATAGCATGCACTTCTTACATTTATCTTTTAATAACACATTGGTTTGACTAGAATATATTAACTATGCATGCAACATAAAACAAAACCCGTGAAGGGTGCTGACTGCAACAAGACCCGTGATTTGCATGTCTAATATATGAAGGGTGCTAGGTAGCCTAAATCTTTTACTTCAATTTCTAGTCATATTGGTATCTTACTTAATATGTCTACAATTTTCTCGCAGCTCACGAAGTTTTGTGTAATCACTTAGTTCTACTCATACACATTGATACATACCCAGTATCTTGTATATCCATCTTATCCTTCTATCTTGCTCTTGTATCTTTATTTCTTTTAAATCTTTTAAATCTAATAGGTAGTAATAATATTACCAAGCTGAGTATCTACTTTAGGCCAACATCTCCTTACGTATTACAAGTGAGTGCATAAATTGTTTTCATCAAGGTATGTATATTTTTCTTTTAGTATTTGAAACGAATAAATTTAGTTTTTTTTTTACCAAAAATTGAACATAGTTTCATAGTTAATGCTAATACCTGCAGGAGATGATTTTTGAAGAGTTTTGAGCTGATTCGTGCTGATAACGTGTTATGAAAATGAAGAAGATGAAGACTAAATTTGAGAGATAGATATATTAATAAAAGCTCTAAATATCTTCTTCTTAATATCTGAGAATTTCTGAATTTCTGAATCAATTTACAATGCCTCATCAAGCTCCTATTTATACTGTTTGAACTTGATGATTAGTCATTTAAGGGATGAATCTACAGATTTGGTGGCAATAACAAGTTGAGCCATCTGTTCTAACTAGGTTACAAGGATTAAACATAATTTCTGGATTGATGACAAGGATGAACAATTCACACTTGTCATTTCCAGGATTTTACAACAATTTGATATTTTTACTTTTTAGCCCCCTCCCCCAAACGGGCCAAACCCTTCCCAACTGTTATACTAGGTGTTTATAGTCGTTCAAACGGCCATTCTGGACCCCACCAAAGGTGGATTTTAAAAACTAGAATTTGATGATTGGAGAATAAACATGTAAACATGTTTTCCTTTTTCAATTTTCTTGCAAAACAGAAAATATTTCTGTTAATAACGGGCCTTGATTTTCTGCAGCCCAAAGGCCCAAAGTACGGAAAAGCTAGTAAATACGCACTAACACCCGGACTTCTTCCGGCTTCAGTGATCCTGCTCCACGCCCGTAAACTGACACAGTTACACAGGCACACAGCCTTCGACGGAGCTCGCCAAGGAAGAAGCAATTAGTACCGCCGACGCTTGTCCTGTTTGCCGCCTGCTGCTTGCCGCCCTGCCTCTTCTCGTCTTCTCGGCCTTCTCGGAAATCGGAATCGCAGGCTCTCGGAGTGACGACTGTCGGTTTCTGAGTCCAGGCGTCCAGCTCTAAGTTCCAACTCTTCAAGACTTAAGGTACACCTCCCCACATGGCAACCTCCCATGCTCCGGCCATTGTATTTGTTTTACAGTTTTATAAGTTTTCTTTTATTGGTTTACTGATTAGTTTATTAATCGATAAATTGATTTAATTTATACTATTTCCGTGGACATAAGGGGGTGATGAGGTTATTAAGAAAAATGAGTTTATATAGTTGATATTGAATTCATAAAGTAATAATAAAATAAGAATGATTTAGAATCACATTAATTAACTTGGTACGAGGCAATCTTAGTGGGACAAACCGAAAGGAAAGATGAGATAATCTTAGTGGGACAGAGGGAGTAGTTGTTTAATGTTTATAAATGATAAATGATTATGAATAGTTGATAAGTAATTAGTTGATTTGTTGCCTTGTTGGATGTTGAGTGTTAGTTCATATTCTTAATTGTTGATTGTTATCTATTGAGTAGTGGTGTTATAATTTGATGATTTTGTTAGGTAAAATTTTTCTATTATATTTATATTTATAAATTTGATTAATTTCAATGTTTAATAAAAATGGTTGAATTTGGATGAGATAAAAAGAAAAATGGGAGAAGATTAGAGAAAATGGCCTATGTCAAAAAGTTCAATGAAAAAGTTTGTTTTTGTGTAGCAGTCAAATCCTGAATGTATTTCTCAAGATGAGAACTCAGAGTAGAATAATGATTTAGCTACTGAAAATGAAGCGGTTCAAAATGATCATGTCATAGGAGGGGAAAGTTTAGGAGTTGATAACATTAGTAGTGATCAACAATGTCTCAAGATAGGCTTAATGGGTTGGCAATATTAAGAATTGAGCATAATGTGTTACGAAAGCTTGATTATGAAGTTATAGTTGATGACTTCGTTTCACAATGCTCAATGAGGAATGTATTTAAGTTTTTTTTGTTATTTGAAACCGTGATTCAACATGTTTTAATGAATTCAAGTGTTTTCTTTATTATAAAAGTCTTGAAATATTATTATGCATTTTACTTTGTACATAAAACTGAAAAGGTTTTTACTTTGTTTTACAACTACGTCCATTTTATATTATTCACCCTTAGGCCTTCTAACATAAAAGACTGACCATGCTTGTAATGAGTTACAGGAGCTATAATTTATAAAATCGAAGGTATTTCAATGTTCTATATTCTCGAACTTTTAGAGGGGTTGGCTGACCACCCTGAGCCCTGGCTCCGCCCCTGAATGCCCCTATGTTTTTAGTGGTAATATATTTTGTAATGCGTATAATTAATTTTGATACTCTTTTTATTACTTATGAATTTCAATTGAGCCATTTATTCTTAGTATCTAATCTTAGCATCTGAGTCTGTGTTTGTGAGTGCTGTATGTCAATATGATCATTTTTGCCATAGAAATTATCATTTGAAATTTATTTTGAAAAATGTTTTTAGTATATCAAGGTGTTACATGATTGAGAATATGATGGAATAAAGCAAAATGGCTCACTAAACTGTCTGCGCTTCTTTGCTATTAAGCAACGGTCAGTCTATGCAATTCTTGATGCGATTTTCACTATGGGTCATCTGGAAACAGCCTCTCTGTACCTTAGTACAGGGGTAAGACTGCATACATCCGACCCCTACTTACCCCACCGTAGGTGGGAGCCTTTGCGGCACTAGGGTATTGATGATGATGATTAAGGTATTACATGTTTGTTTCCTTAGCATGGCAAATATGAGAATAATGTGTTTTTGTTATATTTTAAATTTTAATTGACTCCATAAATTGTTCTTGTCTGATTCATATGCGCAGGGGAAAGGGAGGTTGAGAAAGGAGTTTTTGGTTAGGTTGCTACTGAGAAAATGCCTTCGATGTCTTCCAGCAACTCTGTGCACAAATTTCACACTGTGAATAACAGACCGTTGAAGAAACCCAAATCAGATCACTTAGGCAGGCATGTGCTTTAATATACAGGGCTCTAGTAATTTTTGTTTGCATATTGTATTACTTAGGATAATTTTTGGGAGCCTTTGCGGCACTGGGGTAAATGAAAATGAAAAATGAAAAGATTGTATTACTTAGCATGAACTTTTTACTTGCAATATGTGTTTTAACTTTTAAATTTTTAACAAAAACAAATCTTTGCAGGGGGCAAAAGATTGATCATCAGAGAAAAGCTCTGCCAATTGCTCAATGTAATTCTTTCTGCTTGTGATATTACTTCGACCATTGGCCCTCCCCCCTCCCTAAACTGCAATCACCAAAGAGAAAAGCTTGGATGGTCACTTCAACTGGTTTTGTCTAGGTTATTACTAAAAAGTAAAAACTTAGCAGTAAAGGATACTGATATTTGATATTTCAAATATGTATTGTATATTTGTATATTATTCTTTAAATTGCATCTGATTTTTGATATTTAATTTTAATTTGTTAATACTAAAAATGTTAATGTGCAAGTCAAATGTAAGTTTATGTTGCATCCACTAGTACATGACATGAATAGTCTCCTTCATCCACTGAAGCAAAATTGGATAGAAACTTCTGTAGGTACCACATAAACACAGTTATCAGAAGCTGTTGTGATATCTCTATAGAAATCTAAAATTGGATACCATTGTGATCTATGTTTCAATGATTTAATACAAAACAAGTCAAAACAACCCAGTTATTCCTAATGAGTAATGACTTATCTTTATATAACTAAATTGCGTGTATTGCAGTGGAAAAAGAACTTTTGGAGGATGTTAGGAGTCATGACACCTTGATTGTTGTTGGGGAAACTGGAAGCGGGAAGACTACACGTAAGCATTTATTTATAACCTTCAAGTCCTTGTTGGAGTACTATCTTTTCTTGTTTGATTTTTCCCCCACATTTACTTGGTGAGGTAGCAAATCTGATAGATATTTTAAATTCCTATGGTTGACAATAAAATCAGCTTCCACTTAACAAACTTTATTCGTTACTGATATATAAATCAATAAATGTTGACAGTAGGAGGTTTCCATTACTTTTTAATTTTATTATTACAGATACTATATAATGTACACACTAGAGAAGGGAAAAATTATAATTTAAAAACACTTGATCAATATTTGACATTATGTGCACCATGGAAGGTTCTTGTTGATTTTTAATTTTAATTGTATAGATGTTATAACATGTTTTAATTACAGAAGGGAGAAAAACATAATTTAAAACTTTTAATCGCCTGACCGATATTTGAAATGATATGTCGCCAAAGTTCCACAACTCTGAACGCAAGTAACTGTGTGTTTAATAATGTTTTCTGACTTTTCTCACTTTTTTGCTTTAGGTGTTACTCCCTCCGTCCCTAAATAAAAGCATCTGTTTCCTTTTCGGGCCGTCCCTAAACAAAAGTTCCCTTTCCTTTTTTGGCAAACAAAACAGTGCAAAACAGTGCAAAACAGTGCCAAACAGTGCCAAACAGTGTCCAAACAGTGCCAAACAGTACCAACCAAACCCACTTTCTTAAGATGTGTGTAAAATGAATGGATACTTTTATATAGGGACGGAGGGAGTATATTATACTACCTCCGCCTCCCTAACATTGATACAAGAGGAGGTAGTGTGGTTACTAAGAAAAGTGAGTTTATGTGGTTGATATTGAATTGATAGAGCGATAATAAAGTAAGAACAATTTAGAGTCGCACAAATATTACCAAATTCAGCATGAGACAATCTTAGTGGGGCATACCAAAAAGGAAAGATAAAACAATCTTAGCGGAACATAGGGAATATATGTTAAATGTAGATCAAGGAAGCCTTTTTAGAAGCTCCATCAAAATGGGATACATCTTTTGTCCTTTTGGTATGGTGAGTTTGATTCTTAGGATGTTTTCTTTTGGACTGAAATTTGCTGGTCTGGTTGGTTTGTTTAAGTTTGGTCTGGTCTGATCTGGTCTGGTTTGTTTAAGTCTGGTCTGAACTGGTCTGGTTTGGTTTGTTTAATTCTGGTCTGGTGTGATCTGGGACTAAAAACAGCCCAAAAGAAAATTTCCATACTCTGAGATACTCTGAGTTACCTGACAACTATGCGTGTTAGGATGTTAGGCAAGGTTGTTAAACTCGAGATCCTAGCTCGGATCGAGAGGGGATACTTATGTCTTTGGCTTAGGCTTTTGGTATATCTCAAATGACTATTTACTATGCATGTTTGTCAAAGTAACCCTGAGATATGCTGATGTACCGTGAGATTTTCCCTGCCTGATAAATATCTTAAGGTAAGGCCCTGGTCATTTAGAGAAATATAAAAAAACTAATGATTACCTCAGAAAATTGGAAAATGATGTATTTCTTCACAGCATTAACATTGTCATTGACTTAAATTACTTAACATATTGTACCTTGGTTTGTGAATGCATTATTTTTGAACACTTTATCTATTCGTGGGCGTACAGAGTTGCCCCAATATCTTTACAATTGGGGGTTCTGCCGCGGTGGAGGGATTATCGGGGTAACTCAACCTAGACGTGTTGCTGCTGTGACGGTTGCAAAACGGGTCGCCGAGGAATGTGGCAGCCCATTAGGCCAAAAAGTCGGATATGCAGTTAGGTTTGAGGATGTAACCTCCAGCTCAACAAGGATAAAGTACATGACAGATGGGTTGTTATTGAGGTAAGAGAACATTCATTGTACATTAAAACCTCTAGTAAGCATACCCTAAATATCACTATAATAAAAGTCCTAACTTGGGATACTTATAAATAACGTTAGCCGCTAAAATTGTAATACAACAACAACATTACCCCAGTGCTGCAAAGGCTCCCACCTACGCAACCTTACTCTTGTACTAAAGCACAAAGACTGTTTACGGATGACCCATGATGAAAATCGCGTCGAAAATTGTCTGGACCCATGATGAAGCGCAAACAGTTTAGTGAACCATTTCGCTTTATTTCATCATATTCCCAAGCCAAAAAATAGTGAGTTTTTGGCTTCATTGCAAATGATGGACCAACCGCTAAAATTGTAAAATGTAATAAAATGTCAAGTCTTGTATTATGAACCTCTACACAGTAATAATTATATTCACACAAACAGACATTTAAATATATACTTATATAAATCATTGATAAAGAGAGTAATAACATTTGCTGCCCTTTTTCAGGTGTAGTTGGAAGTATAGAATTTCTAGTTTTAAAACTAAATCTTTTATGTTTTCATTAGTTTTTCTCTTTATATTATCTATAAATTTAGTATTATCTCAGTGTGTGTTGTTTTATAGGGAAGCATTATTGGATCCTTTCCTTTCAAAGTATTCTGTTATTATTGTTGATGAGGCTCATGAGAGAACAGTCCACACTGATGTATTGCTTGGCTTGCTAAAAAATGTACAACAGATGAGAGTGAATATTGATGATCATCATGCAGGAGGAGAAGAAGCCAAGAAAGGGTTACTATTATTGGACAAACAAAATGGGGCTAATAAGTTATCTCCTTTGAGGTTGATTATCATGTCTGCCAGTCTGGAAGAACATCTATTTTCTGACTACTTTGGTGGTGCTAAAATTGTTCACGTTCCAGGGCGGCAACACGAAATTTTAGATTATTATACGTGCCAACCTGTCAGTGATTACTTAGATGCAGCTTTGGTTACTATATTTCAGGTATCTCTACGTGCACTGCAAATTGTCTAATATTAAAACTGTCAATTTGTTTTTTTAATTTTTATGCCTTTTAATTTCAAACTTGATTTGACTGTATCTGTCAGATACATGTAGAGGAAGGTCCTGGTGATATACTTGTTTTCTTGACTGGCCAAGAAGAAATAGAATCTATGGAGAGGCTTGTCAATGAGCAACTGCCACAATTATCTGAATCCAAACAAAACCTTATAACCTGTCCAATATTTTCATCTCTTCCATCAGAGAAACAGATGAAAGTTTTTGCACCTTCTCCTGCTGGGTTCCGTAAGGTAGTTTGCTCTTCAGAATATGATTTTGGTGCACTACCTTTTCTGTTTTGTTTCATGAGCCCGTGAATTTGATCTTATTGTTGACTAGTCTTGCATTATAATAGGTTATACTAGCGACAAATATTGCTGAGACCTCAGTAACAATACCAGGAATAAAATATGTGATTGATCCTGGTATGGTTAAAGTACGCACTTATGAGGCATCCACAGGGATTGAACCACTAATCATTGTGAAAACTTCAAAAGCACAAGCACATCAGAGAAGGTGGTCCATATGTTTTATTTTGCTATATTAGTGTAATATTAATATTTACTTCTCCATCTATTTATTTTCGTATTTATTACTACCTCCTTCCCACCATGATTGGGACATGAGGAAGTGACACTGTTATTAAGAGAAGTAGATTTATTTGGGCAGTATTCAAATTTTTTAAGTATATGAACAAAGTAAAAATGAATTAGAACAACTCAAATATGACCAAATTTTCCATGATACAAATTTAATATGAATAATGAAAAGGGAGAAATGATGTTAGATAGTGGGACGGAGGAAGTATTTTATTTATTTATTTAATCATTTATTTATTTATTTATTTATTCCTGTAATTATTAATTATTGCGTATTATTATTTTTTATTAAAGAGGACGTGCGGGGCGTGAAGGACCTGGAAAAGTATACCGACTTTACCCAGAGGATGAATTTGCAAGACTCAAGGATTCAACTACTCCTGAGATCAAAAGATGCAATCTTTCAAATGTTATTTTGTATCTCAAAGCACTTGGCATCGACGATATTATCAATTTTGATTTCATTCAAAAGCCTGACAGGTGTGTTTAAAAACTATAGAACCAAATTTTCAAAAGTTTTATAGTTATTTACATTTTCCTTTGAATTTTGTGTCCTTTAATTGTACAGGAATGCAATCATAAAGTCAATGGAGTTGCTATACATGTTAGGTGCACTAACAGAAGAAAGCAAACTGTCTGATCCGATTGGGAAACAAATGGTGAAGCTTCCACTTGATCCTGTCTACTCCAAAGCACTCATTGTCGCCACCCAATTCAACTGCTTAGAGGAAATGTTGATTGTTGTTGCTATGCTATCTGTAGAATCTGTGTTTTATGCCCCCCGCGAAAAATTGGAAGAGGTAATCTTTCGAAAGGTGTTTGTATGCTATATATGCGTTATTATTTGAAAAAATGTTAATACAAAGATTATGTTAAAATGAAGAAAAAGTGAAGATAAGAATCTTATAAAAGACATTATGCTCTGAAGTTCTATGACTTCTATCTCTATTAGGTTACCTTTTAGAATGAAATCTAAGGGCTTCTTGGATTCAGGATTTCAGTGTGGAAGGAAGGAGAGGGTGATATTTATTTTAGAAATTTCCTGAAAGAGTAAAAACAGAGTAGTTTCTCTAAATAGGAGTGCAACTTTTTATATAAATAGGAGTACAGTACTGTCATCTTAAAATCATACTGCAATATCATGACATTATCAGGCATTAATATGAAAATATTAATGCCATCATACGAAAGTATTTTTAGGATGACGGTAATTACACTTTAGGTAAACCACCTTGTATTTTCTCCAGGTCAATGTCATTTATATTTATTACATCATTTCTATTCTTTGTTGGTTAGAAATAGAGTGAAGACAAAAAACTATATAGACATACATTATTTGACTGACAGTTATTTCCATTCGAAAACTAACAAATAAAATCAATTAGTAAAATAAGGGTCAATCCTCCCCCCCTTCCCTCCAAAATTCCTGAACCAAACTAGCCCTAAGTCTTTAAAATAAAAAAAAAAGACATAGTTATTAATGAGCGGGGTGATCATTTTAAAAAATCCCCATTCTGTCTAGGCTCGAATTGCTTTGAAAAGCTTCTCAAGTCCAGAAGGGGACCACTTGACTTTGCTGAGTGTATATCGGACATACGACGAGTTCTTGCAAAAGCATGACATAGTGAATGACAGTAAAGGAAAAGTTGGAAAGAATGTAAGAAAATGGTGCAAGCAAAATTTCATCAATAGCCGGTCCCTAAAGCATGCCCATGATATCCACAGTCAAATACGAAGGCATGCAGAGCAAATGGGTTTAAAAGTCATTTCATGTGGTGGAGACACTCTTTCCTTCCGTAGATGCTTAGCTGCTTCGTTTTTCCTGAATGCAGCTTTAAAGCAACCTGATGGTAAATACAGGTGAGAGTTCTTAGATTTATAACTTGTTGTCTGGTGTTATTCTAAAAACACAAGCTATTAGTGTAAAGATTTATGCTTCTGTTATTTGTATTCAGGGCTTTGTCCAGTGGACTTATGGTGCAAATCCACCCCACGTCGGTTCTATTCAAGACAAAGCCCGAGTGTATAATCTTTGATGAAATCATCCGAACTAACCATAACTACGTCCGTAACGTCTCCAAAATTGATTGCTCATGGTTGGCTGAGCTGGCACCTCAGTGTTATGCTCTTCAGGAATAGGATAGTGAATAGAGATTATTGTTTACTACAGTGTTGTTTTATTTATGCGCTCATTCATTTATATATGCCCATTCATTTATATATGCCCGTAATAATGGGCATGTGTTGTATGACATCTTCATGAGAATAATGTGAATTTCTGTTCACCAAAAGTGGGTTCTCTTTAATTTGTAATATCTATTTAATAGAGTTGGATTGCAATACCCTTATCTGGTTTTAAAACAGAGCTACCCACTGCACTTGTAAATTATGATGATGTTTATGGAAGAGTTCGGTTTTGTGTCATTAGACTTTTAGTGTACTATTGTTATGTTCTATTTTGCGCCATTTGACTTTTAGTGTACTCTTGTTAATACATTTATTACCTGGAAGGCCCGAATGGCCAGAAGGGTAGCTTCCATGGGGTCGTAAGTCGTTTATCTGGCAGCTAAGTTTAGGCTTGTGGCCTTGTGGGATTACTTGACTAGAGTGGGACTGAAACCCATGTCACAAAAAGATAACTGAATCAAAGACAATTGTCTTACCACCTCAGATAGTGTATTTTGAATGTAAATACAGACGTTCTTGTTTAAGAAGATTTCTTGTGACATTGTTGATCCAGAAAATGAGTTTTTTTATTAAAAGAGGATCATGTATATGACCACTGCAGCTGAAAGTAGGGGTGGACTGGGCCCGGGTCAGGCTGGGGTGGGCTCCGGGTCCTGAATATTCAGGCCTGGTAGTGGCCCGGGTTTGTACCGGGATCGGGTCGGACCTCAATTTTTTTTTTGTTTTTTTTCGAATTAATTCCACCCCCCCCCCCCACGCCCCCACCCCAACCCCCCCAAACCGCCTAGCCCCACCCACCTAGAAGCCAACCCAATGAGAAAAATTAAAAAAAAAACTAATTGGGCCTGGGCCGGGCCGGTTGACCATTTATCAAGCCTGTAGCCCGCCTATTTAATCCCCTGGTTCGGGCCCCGGTCCCAGTCTACCGGGCCGGCCTGAACCGGCCCAGCCCGCCCCTAGCTGAAAGTTGAAGGTTCATCACTTCATCCTGCTACTTCATTTGGGGACTTATGTAAACTCATTTTTAGGGGTGGACTTGGACAAGTATGGTTCTAATACCCAATCTTTTTTCAGCTTTCAAATGGATTGATAACTAGTCATGGACTCGGGCCGGGCCTCCGGTTTTTAATACGTGGGCCCGGGACTGGCCCGAGGTAAGAACGGTTCCGGTGCGGGCCGGGCCACCAGCCCAGGTCACGGGTCGGGCCACCTGTCGGGCCGGGTAATTTTTTCTTCTTATTTATACTTTATAGTTTTATACAAGCATTAAAAACAAATTTCAAGTGCATTTATTTGAAATGAAATAGGAACTACATTTGACAATTGAGAAAAAAAACACAATATGAAATACATTTTGTAATCAATCGGAATTTTCCGGTCCTTTGGCTTTGTCACATGACTTAATATGCTTCTTGGTCATCCCGTATCCGCGTGAAACCCCCCAAGGTCCCAAGCTACATTTTTTCCCGCATCATTTGTAAGTTGCGTACCACATCCCGGTCCTCGGGTCCTTCTGCGTATAAAAATTATACGCGATAACGACATATTGATTTTCCATCTTAAAATTGGTAGATATAATAATTCTATAAATACTAGAATAGATGGAGATGAAAGATGAGAATGGAGATTGGATATAGGAGAAGATTTGTTAGAAAATAGGAGTATTTATAGAAACTTTTGTACCCCCACCCCACCCCCGGGACACCCTTGATTCAAGCACCCAACGGCTATATAGCCGTTTGGGGCCTTGAGGCTTGAGTCTTTGATTTCAATTTTTTTTTGTTTATTTTAGTTTGAATAAATTACATAATGTAAAATTAATTTAATGAATTAAGTAAAGCTATTTTTACTTAGAAACTAAGAAAAGTAGTGTGATTTAGAATTTACAAATGTCACAAAATATGTGTATTTATACAAATTACATATTGTAAACCTAATTTTAATTTAAAAACAGCTTTAGATAAAATAAATTGTAAGTTTTAACCAATTAATTAATTTGAGAAGTGCTACATATAAAAAAATGAATGTATATTTATTTGAAATATAACTACAAGTTTACAAGTTACAATTGAGAATTGAAGGAAAAATTAAAATATGAAATACTAATCAATTGGAATCTCCGACATAGGTAGAGCCACCATCGGTTGTTGATTCATCCATAAAGTGTTGGGATAAGGTGATGACAATTTCTTGAGATCTACGGGCCGCCTTCAACCAATCGTGGTAGCATATAAGTGTCTCAAGAGATCCGCGTTAGGACATTGCCGACTGAACTAAATTCTTGTTCCACGGCAACGGTTGAAACCGGCATTGATAGCACTTGCTTAGCCATCTTTGCTAAAACTGGGAACATTCTTTCTTTTCCCTTCCACCAATTTAGAACGTGAAATTCATCATCTTCTTCAAAATCAACACCATATGCTAAATACAAAAAAATCTCATTAATTGTGCTTTGTTGAGTAGCGGGAGTTGTTTTAGTTTTTTTTAATAAGATTGGCAAATGTAGATTTGAAAATTGATTTTCCTTTAGATGAAGATGTTTGTGTCGGGGGAGGAGACGCGTTGCCATATTGTGCATGAAATTCATTAAATAATGCATAAAATATGTCACTAACCTCGTTGTATTCTTTTTTCGGATCAATTGCATTATCGTCATACATTGGAAGAGGACCATAAAAAGCTTGATAATAATACTTCAAACATTCTTCTAAAGAACCAAGTCTAAAATGAGGATCGAGAACAAATGCAATACCATAAATATGTGGAATATGTGCATAATATTTTAAAAACTTTTCATTCATAAATTCAGCAAAATAACTCACATAAGCGGCATTCTCAAATTTTGAAAATGCACCAGCGAGATTAACAGCTTCACGAATAAATTGGTTTGAGATAGATTTATAAACATGACTAAAAGTTTTAGTTGCATTAAAAAAATATACCAAAGCATTACAATTTTTTTCGCAGGTGTCGATATCAGCCGAGTTTATAATATAGTTATCATATTGTTTTAAAAAAGCAGTAAAATGTTCTTTATATCTAAGAAGAGCTGTAATTAACTTATAAGTACTATTCCAACGAATAGACAAATCTTTAGGAAAAGCCACCTATTTCTCACCTCTTTCTATCAAATAATCATGTCATTTTTTTCTAAGTTGACCACTACCCCAAATACGTCTAATCCCCCCTTGACTACTGATGGAGTATATGGCTCGGGAACCCCCGGCCCACAGACTCCTACTACTCCAGCGAAGGCCCAGAAGGCCCAACAGGCCCAAATCACAGCGCCCAGAGTACCAAGCAGCCCGCACTACGCGCCAGGGGTGCCTTCGGCCCCCTGGCCGAAGGCTCTAAATTCTCACAGAACGGGTTTCTCAAGCAAATTAAGAAACTGGGAGAAAACGGCGAAAACAGTAGCCCTCGGCACTGTGAGCCCTCGGCACCAGGGTGCCATCGATTGGAGGAGCCCTCGGCTACTGCTCTATAGCCGAAGGCATCTCACTCGACAAGATATCCGCCTCACATGCGTAAAGATCACCGTACCCTGCACAGACGTCCCATCCAACAGCCGCATTAAATGCGGCCACATGCGGCTGCCAGCGCCAACCAGTTGAGGTGACCCCTCGGCCAATGAGCGCTTGACACGTGTCCTTGTCCGGCATTTATTGCTACTATAAATAGCACCCCATTTCCCCATTTGTAACCACGACATCCATACTGAATACACTCTCTCTCTTACTTACTTGTGCTCTGACTTCTCTCTAAGTTACTCCCCGCAATAACCCTTCGGATATATACCCCCGGGTAGACTATCCATCATTTGGTGCTCTCGTTGAGAGGTCGAACAATCAAGTAAGAAACCCTCCCCCTCGACCAAACACAAAACACTAGCCCTCTATCAAAATGGTGAGAACAACACGTGCCAACTCAAAGAACGTAGAAGACAAGAACCTGGCCCTCGGCGACGTCAACGCCCCCGAAGCCTCTCACAGGGCTCCCGAGGGCGGTATCATCGCTGGGCTGGAACAGGCGGCTGTCGACCTACGCCTTCAGATCCAACAAAATGCCCCCGATGCCCGCCTCGGCATCGAGGCCAAGAAGAAAAACCGGAGCGATGACCAAGTCAACCCTCCGGTTCTCACCATCGACGTGCAATCGGCGCTCTCCGCCTTCATCCAGACGCTCACTCAGAACCCGGGTGCCTTCGGCACCCTGGCTCCGGCTCACCCCCAGGTTGGGGAAAACATCATACTTCCCCCCTCTGCCACACCCCTTCGGAAATCTCACCCCTCGAGTGAGGGACGACGAAGGGGTAGTGGCCCAGGACACGTCCTCCCAGGAAGTACAGTCCCGGGATCGCCACAATGACAACAGGGAGAGGCCCCGCACTTCTGCCCTCAACCGGCTCGGAGGAGGGCCAGACCGCCGAGGGGTCCAAGACCGCCTCGGAGGAAAGGCACTCCAAAGGCCCCAGGAAAGTGGAGGGTCTGTCTCGAGGGCAGACGAGGAGCGTCCCCCTCGAGACAAGGGCAAGTCACCCCTTCATGCCAATGATGCTCGCCACCAAATCAACCAGGCCCACTCGGCCCGGGTTCGTTCGCAGGGGGCGGAGACCCTCCCGAAGGTTCCCCGGGACGAGATTATCGCGGCCCTCCAACGCCGGCTTGACGAAATGGAGTCCAACAAAGCTCACGCCACCACCTCCACCCCTCACTCAGACCTCAAATACGAGGCCATGATGGCCAAAATGGAGGAATTACAGAAGAAGGTGGCCGAGGGCTCCGGAGAACCCGTCATCCAGCTCCGGACTCGGACGCCATTTACCCCAAGGGTATTGGCGGCCCGGATCCCGGAGAAATACCGAGGGCAACACATACAGCCCTACAACGGGAAAACGGACCCCCAGGAACACTACAGCAAATACCAGAACAGCATGATGATGGTGGGGGCGTCAGACGAATATTTGTGTCGATGGTTCCTCTCCACCTTAGAGGGACCGGCATACGAATGGTTCAACAGGCTGCCCGAGGGTTGCATTGATTCGTGGCAAGAACTCGCCCAGCGATTCTTGACACAATTTGCCGGGAGGCGTCGCACAAGGAAGCACTTCTCCCACCTCCTAACAATACGCCAGAAGAAGGATGAGACCCTTCAGGATTTCCTAGAGCGCTGGAGGACGGAGGCCGACAAGGTCGACGGTGCTGATGACGGGACCCTCCTGGCCC